TGGGTATGTTTCTAGAGATTTTATTTTGTGAGGAAAATTGCTTCTTGGTCTCATGAGTTTATGCTTAAAGATATTCAAAAATAGGAATCTTCCTGATAGGCGTTCCTTTGAAAAACTACTTGTCCTATTTCGTAGAGCTTGTAGTGTGGTTTATAAAAAAAACTGTTAGGCAGGAACCTGTCGTTCGAAGAGAAGAAAGTTAATTTGCCGTAATTGTTTGCAAGTCATCGTAAAATAAATCAAAGAACTACTTCGTAGTTTTTCTTGATAGAATAATAAATACATATAACTTAAAAAAATAGTTTAATAAATAAATATTATTTATTAAACTATTGTAAATAAATTAAATAAAAGTAAACTGGTATAAATTTAAATAAGTCCATAAACTAATTTTGATTTTGAAAATAGCTACTACAGTACGTTAGGTTAGGTTAGGTTCCGTTCCGTAGCTTCGGGGCATCCGTAAGGGGGGAAACGATATTCTCTTGATGTTTCTTGTAAAAAATTAGACGACGCGTCCCATCAATAAAAATTCAACAAATTTGCAAGTAGCCAATGAAATGAGTGGGCGGAGTGTTTTGCGGTGACACTGTTTATTTAAATGTTTTTTGTCCGCATTCCTCTCATAGACACAGATCTAGTAGACATACCTTAACTGTCACTAGAAACTTGCCATGACGACACTAGCCCTCTTGTTTCCATTTTATTGAAAAATTGCTCTTTATTCAAACTCTGAGCTAGATAGGTATAGGAAACCCTAATATAGTTTGAAAGAGCATTTGAATCTGCTACGATTTATTATAAAAAAATCAGGGTGTTGTATTTGAAATAACGAAGTTTTTATGTAAAATAAATCCTTAAAATAGATCAGCAATTTTTGATACCCCTGTATAAATTTAATAAAGCAATAAAATTTTCTAGTAAAGTTTATTTCTCTACTTTTAAATTCAGCACAAGACTTAATTCTGGAGTAATATACAGCTACAATGTACAGGTGTTAATAATCTATTCTATTGTAGCATACAAATTTAAATATCTTATAAATTGTGTACATTACCTCCCCACATATACCCATAAAATGTTTTGTTTCTACATCTTTCCGCTTTTCCTGTATGTATCTTTTGACATTATCAATTTAAAAAACAGCAATTTAAATTTCAATCTAGAGAAAAATAAAATACTAATTCAAAAATTAAAGAGCTGTAATCATCTGCTGATGATGCTAAAATGGTTAGCAAAACGCGCGTCCAGTGCAAAAGTAAAAGTGTTTTGGTGTTTTGTGATGAATTAGTGTTTTATTTTGCTGTTGTAACACCAATGGTTCCAACCCGCAATTATAATCAATCTAGAATGCCATGGCTATAGATGTAATGACAATTTGACTCGAAATACCAAGTATGTGATACCAAATTATTCGTAAAAAGTGATTTTTCCAAATATTCTAAAAAATTAAGTTTTGATTCAAAATACGACTTGGGCATCTTTTAAACGACCAGAAAAAGACACGAAAAATATTAGGCGATAAAATCTATTTTTCCAATGCTCCTTAAAATTAATGGTTTAAACACAGGCATGGCACAAAATGGTTTCGCAGATACACGCAGCATTATTTATATGGCTTTTTTATTTTTTTTATAAGTTTTTTCATATGGCTGGCTCTCTCAACGGTAAAATACGAGAGAAAAACATTGGGTGACTTTGATAAAAATTTACTGTGGAAAATGCCATATGAAAAATAAAACCGCGAATACCTGCGAAACCGTTAAAAATTTCGAAATACTCTAAATAAAAAAATGTTCATTTTTCAATTCTCCATCTATTGAAAAAATAATATTCAGAGTGTTCCATTTGAAAAAAACAAAGAAACATTATTTTATATCTTAAGCATCCTGTATGATTTACGATTACCATATTTATAACAAAGTAAGTGCATACCATTTAAAGTAAATACCTAATATAGTTTTGATTTCAGGACAGTTCTTGTATTTTTAATATTTTTTTTTAAAAAGCTGAAAAATATATATTTTTTATTTATTTATATATTGTCTGAAACTATTGCATTATGTTTACTCATATCTTAAGATTATGTAAAGTGACCTGAAAGGAAGCCAAAAAATGCAGTAATATACAGGGTGTTCCATTTAAAAAAAATCCCGATCCACTCACACCCTATAGAAGTTAAAATATTTTCCTGAAATACATCTTAAAACATACTTTAGGTTTGCACTTAAACAAAATTTCCAAGTATTTTATTCTAGGAGCTACAGATGCCCGACGCACTATTGTCGAACCCTGTACAATATTTTAAAGATATCGGGTTCTATTAAAATATAAAATAAAGCTAATGAGTAAAGATTACCGAATCAACATTTACTCGAGTACGAACTTTTAACAAAGTAGAATTTAATTATGCTCTAAAGGAAAATTAGTCGGTTAATGCGGCTCTTCATTGCCTTTAATCCGATAAGAAGCAATTTGAGACGCTAATAGCGTTAATACCCAGAGCCCCATTTCATAAACATCGATTACAAGGGTTAATGTAGACCACGGCACAAGTTTTTTCACATAAAAGACGGTCAGATGATGCCATGGAATGGCAGGTTTAAGATAGTATAAAGGATATGGGTAAAGTGTGCGAAATGCATTAAGAAATTCCTAGTGTTCCTCTGGATTAATCTTATTACTACAATCAGAGTTAATTAAATTCCAAAATTTATAAATAATTCGTTGGTTTATCTATGGTCCCTAGCATATATTTTTTTCCTTAATGATATACAATCTTATGTCCTAATTACTGTTACTCAGAATATACCGGGTGCGTCTCAAATGTGGCTCACCCGTATAACTTATTTATCTTTTTAGATAAAAAAAAAACGAGATTTTGTATGTTAGTATATGACATATATTCGGATTGATTGACGTATTCAATTGTTTTCGGTCACTTCCTGTTTCACCAGAAATGACTACAACTTTTGATTTTTAAATGGCACCCTCTTATTTTTTTACTTTATTCGATAGAGAATGACACTCTGAATAAAATAGCATATCATATGTCAACTTTTGACATTTTCGCATATGGTTTATTTGAATTTATAACTTGCCGTTCGTAACGAAAATTTGATTCGAAATACCAAGTGTGTGGTATCAAATACGATTTTTTATTAAGCGAGAATATCAAGAGTTGACATATGACATATTCATTCTATTCAGAATGTAATTTTCTATCGAATAAAGTAAAAAATTCCGAGGGTACCATTTAAAAATCAAAAGTTGTAGTCGTTTCCGGTGAAACAGGAAGTGACCAAAAACAATTGAATAGGTAGACTTTTTGTAAACCCTTCTTTTGTTTAAAAAGTCGGCGATTTATTATATGCCTAGTCTTTTTGCAAAAAGCCGGATTATTCTATGCGCCTGCGATACATATAAATCCACACTAACCAAGTATTCAAACTTCGTTCCAATATACTAACATACCAAATCTCGTTTTTTTAGCTGATAAAATAAAAAAGTTATAGGGGTGAACCACTTTTGAGACGCACCTGGTATACTATGTTTTTTTTTTCAAAAATGGCTCATCACTGTAATTTTTTGTGTTTTTAGACAAAAAAAGATTTGCTATGTTAATATATGACATAAATCAGGATTGATTGACGTGTTCAATTATTTTCGGTCCCTTCATGTTTCACCGAAAATGACTACAACTTTTGATTTTTAAATGGCTCCTTCGCCTAGATTCAAATTTAAAATACTATTTTTTAAGCGAAAATGTCAAAAGTTGTCATATGTAAAATGTATTAGTCTGCTCAGAATGTCATTTTCAATCAAATAAAATAAAATCATATCAAGGGTTGTCATTCAAAAGTCAAAAGTTTAATTTATCACCAAAATCCAAATCTTATTTTTTTAATTGAAAGAATAAAAAAGTTATAGAGAGGAGCCATTTTTAAAATATACCCGGTAGAGTACAAATAAATAAACACTGTTATAAAGGAAGTCTAGGGTATTTCCGAGGTGTCTCACTATTGGGATTACATGTACATGTTCTTGGCAGTCGCTGGCAGCCAGTCGCTGGCAGCCTTACGACAGTCGCCTATAATAGTTACCCGGCAGTCATAGGCAATCTTCTTCGCAGTCATTGGCAGTCGCTTTGCAGTAAAATTATATTTTGGCAGAACAGGATGTTCCATCTCGGTTGAAATCATACGGTATATCCTTTATTACTGAAGATAGAAGAGTGTGGTTTGCACAAACCTGTCCCACTTTTTGTCAAACGGAAGATACCGGAAACACAATTTTCATAGCCCTCTTTGGTTCTAAGCTACAATTATACCGTTTACACTCATCACTACTTTGCCATTCTGTCTTATTATTTGTAGAGCAGTACTTATGTGTTTCAGGAAATAGTGTTCTTGTACGCCTAACGACAGCAAGGCTTTTAGCGGTTTCATCTGAAAAAGTATTTTTGCCATACATCGATGCAAAATCGACTACAAGTCTATCAGGAGTAAATAGCAAAATTTTTTTAAACCCTCCGGATTTGTTTTTTTCTCTAACTAACTGCTTTATTTGACAAGTTCTTGTAAATGGGATCATCTGTTTATCAACGGCTATTACATTTTCCTTTAGTAGCTGTAAACATTCCGGGCTTAATTTTTCTAAAACAGGATGTACTTTTCAAAATTTGTCAATTTTTTATTGTGCGATGCTACCATCAACTACAACTTTTAAATTACTTTTTACAAAAAAATATAATGGTATTTAATCTACAATAGCTGCCACTTAAACAAACTATACCAAAAATATAATCACTCAAACTAAACCGAACATTTAAAAAAAATAGTGTTAATCCTTAATGGTGTTAATGGTTAACGGAACGTGTAGCTAGAGTTCAAAATACAATAATATTTATTTTTAATTTTAAAGGCTATATCATATTAAATACATCCATTATTGAAATTCAAACAATTCACAGGTATTTCTTACAGGTGGGGTTATAAATGTCGAAATGATGGAGACGTCAAAATTTTTGATAGAAGATTTTTGTTGTATATCAAAATTATCGGCATGTTACCGGTAACGGCCAATGTCCCGTTAGCTTTAGGCTCAGTAATAGTTAGAAGATTGATCGATTCCTACACAGGACGTCTGGTTAGTACCCCTTTACTTGATTACTTTATTAGCAACTATAGCAATAATATAGCAAAGATAAATATACCGGAGTTTATTTAAATTAATTATTACGCGGTTTTTAATTTCTTTTGATTATTTGTCACTTAGGCATAGTCTGATAACAAAAAAACAATGGTTTATAAGAATCTTAGCTGAAATATTAGTATTACTGTAATTAATTTAGTTATTGCATTACAACAAAGCAGTAAAAATGTTATAAAATTGATAGACATTACAACAATTCCGCTTCTTCATAAGTGCTGAAATAACCTGTGCATTCGGTTCTGTAGAACTGTAGAGGTGATAAATCCAGAAAAACTCGTTTAGGACAATATAAACACCGATATTTAGAGGCAGTATTAAGTCTGGTGTACAGATGGCCAACGAAATTCTGCCAGCCTAACAGATACAACAACTTGTACAAAGGTATACTTCCGTATGTCAAAAGAAATTTATGTTATTCCACAGTATGCAAATGAAAATAACATATAAATAGAATCTATTGCTTTCGGTCGGAGAGTAAATCCGCTAACAATGCTGAAAGCCCTAGCAAGTCAAACGGTATCGCCAAATTTGACTTTTTTCCTTGTGATTCAAGTAAGTATAATCTGGACTTTAGGGTTTTATTAGATTAAAGGAAGAAAGAAGGATAATAAATTTGCTGCTGTCAAAACCCACACTAGAAAACGAACCTAAACATTGGTTCACAATTATCCATACGAATAGATACTGGAGAAAGACATTCATTGCAAATAGCAAGTGAATAGATACCATTACCACTTTATACAGGGTGGTCCGAACTGTATTCCAGAAATTTCGGCAGCATATTCTACAGATCAAAATAAGTAAAAAAGTTAGTGTAAATGTATGTCCTAAAATGCTTAGTTTCGGAGATACAGGGTGTAGAAGTTTCATTTTTATTTCGATTTTTTCCAAATAATTTCTGAAGTAACGTCATTATTTGGATGAAAATTGGTATCTGGGAGTTTTGTAACACGAGAAATTTGATTTTGATGTCAAAATTACCCCTATTTGTAGGGGGCGCCACCTACATGTGTTTTAACTGTTTTGAAGAGTAATAACTTTTCGACCGTACCTGTATTTACTTTTGAACTGTTACCACAGAATCCCTAAATATAATTTTTTTTATAACGGACTTTATTATAACGGGATTGGTTTGCAAATATCTAAAAGCTTGCATTGTTAAAGCATTTTCCAGATGTACGACACTGTTATAGTTGCCACGATATATTTCATATTTTAAAAAATCCCCAAAATCAAAAATCGAGAACGGACGAATCCGGGAATCAGGAAGGCCATCATATGGGTCCATTGGTTCAATTCACTGATTTCAGAAATAATAATTTAACAAAATTCTAATATTTTCAAAGTTGTTAGGGTAAGCTCCATCTTGCTGAAAGTATACTTCAGGTAAATTAGCTAAAGGAATATCTAAAAGCTCCGGTACGATAGCTTTCAAGATTTACAAATAGCGGTAAAGAGTTAAGTTTCCTTAATATATAAATAATTTATTAATGTTGTTGACACCTGTTTTTCCTGCTGATTTACCAAATATGTTATTAGATCATTGTAGATACATATCTTCGTACTATTAATAATATGTCCACCATACGCGGAAATATTATGCAAGTTCTAAATTTCTTTCGATTTTCTTTGACCTCTTTTTCCTGCTCATTTACCCAATATTTTATTAGATCATTGTAGATACACATCTCCGTACTATTTATAACATAGCCACCATAAACGCAAATATTATGCAGCTTCTAAATTTCTTTCTATTTTCTTTATTAATCACATGTTTTTCGTGCCGATTTTTACTCAATATTTTATTAGATCATTTTAGATACATATCTTCGTACTATTTATAATATGGCCACCCAAAACGGAAATATTATGCAAGTTCTAAATTTTCAATTTTTTTTATTGGTCGCCTGTTTTTCCTGCTGATTTACCAAATATTTTATTAGATCATTGTACATGCACATCTCCGTACTATTTATAACATAGCCACCATAAACGGAAATATTATGCAGATTCTAAATTTCTTTCTATTTTCTTTATTATTCACCTGTTTTTCCTGCAGATTTTTACTCAATATTTTATTAGATCATTGTAGATACATATTTTCGTATATTTATAACATGGCTAACATATTCGGAATATTATGCAGGTTCTAAATTTCTTTCGATTTTTTTTATTGCTCACCTGTTTTTCCTGCTGATTTACCCAGTATTTTATTAAATCATTGTAATACATATCTTCGTACTATTTGTAACATGGCCACCATAAACGGAAATATATTATGCAAGTTCTAAATTTTTTTTCGATTTTTTTTATCAGTCACTTAGATCATTATGTAGATACATATCTTCATACTATCCTTATATATGTATTTTTAAAATAGATCAATCTAAGACGTTTATGGACTAAGACTACTAGATGGCAGGACTGTATTATTTTTATTTTACTACAGAAAAATACTCGAAAAAATATTTTGTTACTCTGAATTTTGAAGCGACCAATAAAAACAGAGAAAATAAAAATCGATAATCTTCGGACTGTGTGAATTGGTTACTAAGATACTGTTTACCTATTCGATATGCTATAAAAGCTAGTAATTATACAATTCGACCATTGTAAATACCCGACAAATTCCGCAAGGCCGACGAGGCCGATTATTTTAACTGATAACAAAAGTTTGAGCAAAAGTTTGCTTAGAAAATTTTTGAGATATTTTTTTCTTTCTGAATGCACATTTTAAAGTATTTTATATTCTTTGTCCGCTTGATCTATTATACTGGTAGCACGTATCAAAGTTCTGTTCCTTCTAGTTTAAAAAAAAATCATGTTTCTTTGTAGTTGTAGTGTGAAATTAGATTAATTTGTTAAGTTTAATTATGTGTTTAGTGTAGAATAACAATTGAAATAAAAATGAAACTTCTAGTATCTCCGAAACTAAGCATTTTAAGACATACATTTATACGACCTTTTTTACATATTTTTATCTGTAGCATATGCTGCCGAAGTTTTCGAAATACAATTCGGACCACCCTGTATAATATACTAATACCTTGGTTTTAGACCAGCAATTTAAAACACAATAATTAAAAGTTGTTTTTATTTCTTACGTACGTTTCGACCATTCTTAGTTCTTCTATAGAAAATTATAATTATTGTCAATATTGTCATTATTGTCTTTTTATTTTCTTGAGTCTGACATGTACTAGTAATGTGGTTGTTTGTTATTATTTAATATGTTATGTGTAGTACTTCACTAAATTTTGTGTTTTAAATTGCTGATCTAAAACCAAGAATAAATCCCAACTAAATATACAAAAGGTCAAAGAAAAAATTAGATTTATAAATATACTAATATCGTGACACAAAATTATTTTAGTTATTTTAAAAGAAAATTTGTAACTTTGTAATTTTGAAAGAAAACTTATTCTTTTATTCCTGTTCTAAGCAGATGTATTATATATCTGCTGTAAGTATATAAAATATGTATTTAATATATGTACACTTAAAAATATCTGCCACACAGTGCCATGAGCCTACGGTGGTCTAAGTGATGAGCCTACGGCGGTAAAAGAATAAGTTCTCTAATTTATAAGGAAGTTAGACAGGGTGTTTCAAAAAACGTGTGAAATCTCTCGATCGAAATCGACAAAATATCAAGTTACAACTTTTAAACAACATTAAACGACACACAATTTTGCTAAAAAGAGAAAAAAATTTCGAGGTACAATGTTTAGAGAAGATTAGTTATAGAAAAATATTCCTGTAATAACCCATATACAGATCGCTGGTGAATCTATCGACACTTATTGGTATTAAAATATGTAGCACGTATAGCAACTTTTATTATAACCTGCCTCAAAATTGGGAGGAAATTATAAAATAAATCGAAGAAAAATGATAACTTTAACCCCCCTGCAGCTACTGTAGAGACAAAGCAGTATCGAACTGATATAAAAATACATTATATCTTTATGTGTTGGAATCACGAAAGAGGCATGTTTTTTGAAAAAAACTTTCAAGATACGAAACCATGCTTATGATATCGAGCATTCGGTTGTTAATTCTTTGCGGTACAAATTTAAATACTCAAGCTATAAGGATCGTCATGTTATTATTTAATAGAAGATCAATAATTGTTAACAAATCTAAATTTAATATCTTTCAGCCTTTGGCCATAGCAGCGGCCCAAACTGTGCCCTCGACATCAACAATTGCCCTGTTCTCCGGAGCTTTGTTTTGCCTATACCACCAGCTTCGTAAAGGTACTTTGGTGAAAATTGGTGTGGGAAAAACAATTTCATCATTAATAAAGAACTCAAGACACACCATTCAGTAAGTAATTCACTATTGTATCATATTATAGGAGAAACTTTTAGAGCGTCATATTAAATTTCAATCTTGCAGAAAATGTTGCCCAACATTTATTTCAATATGCTAATTCTGTAGATCAACACAATACCAGATGCGTCTCAAAAGTTAGGCTCACCCCTATAACTACTTTATTTTTTCAAATAAAAAAACGAGATTTAGTAAGTTAATATACGACATAAATTAGGATTGATTAACGTATTCAATTGTTTTGGGTCACTCCCTGTTTTACCGGAAATTACTCCAACTTTTGATTTTTAAACGGCACCCTCGGTATTTTTTGCTTTCATTATTAGCTTATTTTTGAGCCTATCGCTCCACTTATCGGCGCTTGGATGAATGAAGTCCTGCTTTTATATCTAATTTATCTTTTATATCTTTATTTTATCTTTTATGTCTGATCGAATCACAAATGAGGAAATAATGAGATGTACTTTTATATGAATTAACTCGTATAACTAGTAATAACTAATAACTACTTAATAAGAAAAATTGTCGTGATTAATTATATTGCATACAGAGTTTTGAAACCGTCAGCTTATAAAGTTTTAATCTGCACCACCAACAAGCGTCTCTAGCAAAACAACTATTTAGAAAGGATATTATGAAACACTGCATAATTTAAAAAATGTCTACACCTCCTGTGTGTCTCTTCATCTCACCAATAAAGTTCTATGGGTATTTCGCTACTGCAAGAAAATCTACAAAATGAAATAACTATTTTTTGTAAACACTGCTGCGTTAACCCAACGGAGACTAATTGTTATAGTAAACGCCATGAATGTTTGGGAGTGATTCATCGGTCGCTACCATAAAGTTCTATGGGTATTTCGCTACTGCAAGAAAATCTACAAAATGAAATAACTATTTTTTGTAAACACTGCTGCGTTAACCCAACGGAGACTAATTGTTATAGTAAACGCCATGAATGTTTGGGAGTGATTCATCGGTCGCTACCATGTGAACTAATCTGTTCAAGGTCACATAAAACTTAATTCCGCTGCCGCGCCGTTTCAAGTCATATAATAATCAATATATAATCTGTTGTAATTTGTTGTTTTAACTGTCAAAGTCTTGTCAAAACATATATTTGGTTATAAATATAAAACGGAATGCCCCATTGGTCGCACTGCGAGCACACCAATGGACTGACGCACAAAAACGAATCATTCAAAGAAACGCGATATAGTATCGTATTTGTCAATTACGCTAACATTTTAGAATAAGTAAGAGGAGCGCAGGCAGATGATTAGACCGGGCCTTTAAAAACCTACGTCTGCGGTAAAAATTTACGTTTTTAATGTAAAAATGATTGCGCGCGTGTCGATTCTTCATCAAGCGATGAATCACTCCCAAACATTCGTGGCGTTTACTATAGTGGCGATTAAGAAATTTTTCTAACAGACAAAAAAATGTTTTCTTTCCGTCGTCGCGTCAGAAGCAAAAAAATATAAAGAACAAAGGTATATACTATTAAAAAAGCCTCTTTTATTTTTATTTTAGAGGCTATCGCTTGGCGACATTCACAAATCTAATGGTGCGTTTAGACTTGAGCACGCACGAGCTGAGCGTGCGCGCACGGCATTTGTTCGCGCTCTCGGCTCCGTTCAAATTAAAAACTTATTTTTCGATGAATGAAGTGATCCATTTGTGCGCGTACAGCAGAGTTGTGTTGGCGAAAATAATGGACGACCAAGAAATAGTCGAGGCTGCAGTCATTGTTATGCACAGCTTAATTATTAAAAAGAACAAAATTCGAAAACATCGTCGCTGGTGGCAAACCCAAATTTTTAGAAATCGATATAATTTACTGCAACAATTTATTAGTGTCTGAGGAGGGCTATGATCAGTTCAAAAACTTTACAAGAATGACCAAGCCTGACTTTGAATATTTACAAAATTTAATAACACCAAAAATTACGAACAAAAGATACAAATTTTAGAATAGCAATTTCATTAATATCGACATATTCAATATTTATTTTATTTACAAGGTTTTGCCATGCTTTGGCCATGCGTTATATTTTTTTGATTTTTTAATTATACAAAGAATGTTTAACATCCCATAATATAGGCAACTTTTCATATTTTTCAATTAATAATACAATGTACTTAAACAGCCGTTAAACGGTAGCCTACTAAAATGCCGTTAATAGATATTGTGACGTCGTTCATGTCGGCGGAAAGTAATGCCTAGCCTTAAGCATTCTGCAAGAGCACCTGTGGGTCAGTGGCTGAGACTATCGCTTCGTAAGCGAATAGTCCGTGGTTCAAATCTCACGCCGACCAAGACTTTTTTATATATTTTTTGCTTATAGCGTGATCTTATTGCATTGGTTTCACTCTTTTTAGTTGGATTGGTTCAGTTATTTGACGGGTTGGTTAGCATGGTTATTTGGAGGGTGTTAATTCATTGGTTAATTGGTTATTTGGTGGGGTTGGTTGTTTTTTACTAATTTATATTTGTTTTTTATATTTTTTATCAGTGTCGAGGTTAGTTGCGTTGGTTAAGTTGGTTATTTAGTGGGGTGGATAGCGTTGGTTAGTCCTTATAAAATTTCTATATTTCATAAAGCCGTCAAGTGCGTCACATCAACGACGTCATACCTATTAACGGCATTTTAGTAAGCTACCGTTTAACGTCAGTTTAAGTACAGCCTTAATAATAACGAAGATTCATTGATCCACTCCATAATTTTAATAAAGAAAACGAAAAAAAAATACACACGCACGCACGAACGCAGACAAAACAAATTGCCGGTCCAAATTGAGCACGGACCAAAAACCGACACCAGACGGCTCACGTTCGCGGCTGCTCGCGCACAGACAGTTTCAGAGTGAGCGTGCGCGCACAGCCGTTTACACTTGAGCATTCGCGGAGGATCAGTGCGTGCGTGCTCAAGTCTAAACGCACCATAAGATTTGTCAGCATTCATGGGGCACAGGGCACAGAATAGATTTTAACAATGCAAAAATTATAATGAAAGAAGACTTAGCCTCTAAAAGAAAAATAAAATAAGCTTTAATCGTAGAGAAAGTTTGAAGCTTTTTGGCTTTACCTTATTAAGTAATTGTTATCAGGTAGTAATTACTGATATTGAAGTTTAATTTGATATAATGTCATTTTTACAGAACGTCAGCGGTTTTTGTACACGTATCTGTTTTAAAAAAACTAAAGTGTTCTCGAATAGTTGCATTTAGATATTTTAAATAGTTTTTAATTTTATTTCTTTGTTCTTTGTATTTTTTTGCTTCCGACCACGGAAGGAGATATACTTTCCGAAACGTTAAGAATTTTTTTGTCCGTTAGGCAAATTTGTTTATCAGTAAACCACTGCTGACAGTTATTAGTCTCCTAGGATTAACGCCCAGCAGTGTTTTCAGAAAATAACTATTTTATTTTAGATTTTCTTGCAGTAGCGAAATACCCAGAGGACTTTTTTGGAGAGACTGCATAATTTGAAAGGAGGCAAAATGTTTTTTTATCCTAACATAGATAGAAATAATAATTTAATTGGTATTTATAATTTTATAGTGTTAAATCCCAATAAAACCGGTTTGCATAAAAATAACGCTTTTATTACATTGTTTCTTTTATATAATATACCTCGGTCTCGGCCTCGGCCTAGAGACTAGATATCCAGTTTCGGTCGGACCTTACTCACGACGCTCGAGTAAATCCCTATTTAACAACTTGGGTTCCTTTACTATTTTGTATAAATAAACTAAATAATTTCTAGATATTCTCCTCAATTTTAAATCAATATTTTCATAAATTTTACGCTTAGCATTCGGGATTATAAACCATCTTCAGATCCTACTATTTTACCGTTGTCAGCGTAGGGATATCCCCATTAGTTTTTTATGATCTCTGATTCTACAATAAATATTAAAATAAAACATTTTCTTTCAGACGTAGAATAAAAAATAAATCATGGTTTTTACGAAACGTAGATGCGTGTCGTAGAAAATGCACGGAAGCTATGCACAAGATTGCATGCCATTCGAAAGATTCCATAGAAGAAATGCCTGATGAAACAGGAGTATTAACAGATACAAGTAGTTTACCTACTTTAAAACATAACATTATAAATCAATCCCGTCCTTATCATGGTTCTTCTAAACATCAGCATCCAGATAATCCAATTGAAAATTTGTACAGGTAAGATGCGAAAAAAGTGTCGATCCCTTGGACCATTCCTGATGTTTCTTATATAAAATGGCGTCCTGAAACTTGATACAACTCTCGTTTCCTTCTACCACCCAACATTTTCGGAAGATCCTCTCTCTCTCTTTTTTATCAATTTTCGATAACAATAATTGTATTACAATGAATTTAATTTGAAGAGGCAAAAAGAATCTACCGTGCCCCCATCAAGTCGAGCACAACCGTACCATCCTTTTCTCGAAGATATTAGTGGCACTTTTGCCCACCCTATAACTTCTTTGTGGATAAAGCAAGAATATTAATTTTCACTAAACATGAGGACATACTAGACCCGGCTAGATTACCAAAATATCTAGTAATTATACCTTATAGTTTATAAATTATAATATATATACAATATAAATTATTGCTTGTCAAATTTCTTTAATTTCGACATTGACTTCCTGACACATCATCAAAATTCTAAGATACTTCTAGATGTGTCACAAACTTTAAATTTTGAATTTTAGGCTTTAAGCTTCATTCAGAACGTCCGAATTAGTGCAATAAATTAGTGGTTTCAATTAGCGTAGAAGTTTGTTCCTGTAATTTGAATGTAAGCATTCAGAACGTCAAAATTGGTGGTCGGAATTTTCAGTTAATGGAAAAAGTTAACAAACTTTATCTTTTCCACTAGTTATACTTCAAAATTTGCGACGAATATCATTAAGCTTCATTCAGAACTTCGCAATTAGTGAAATAAATTAATCGTGTCAATTACACTTTATACTTTTTAGTTTACGATCATTCACAATGTCTAATAAAACACAATTAAAATTAATAGAATACCCTAGCAACAGCTTCCAGTAGTCAGTTGTATCCATAGAGAAAGCCTAATATTTAGCTGATAAAACAATTAACTTTTGATTGCTAACCACATTTTTCTTTTGACAGGTGATAATCAAAGGCCAAAATGACATTCCTCGCAAATTTTGAAGCATAATTAGTAGAAAAGTTGAAAGTTTGTTAACTTTTTCCACTAATTGAAAAGTCCTACCACTAATTTTAACGTTTTGAATGCTTATGCTTACATTCAAATTAGAGGAACAAACTTGTACGCTAATTGAAACCACTAATTTATTCCACTAATTGTGAAGTTCTGAATGATGCTTAAAGCTTATAACCAAAGAAAAATGTTTATTAATAAAGCAATTTTTTAGCTTTAACCTGACGATAAGATATTGTCTGTCGGGACCAACCGATCGTGGGCGAGAGTTTTCTGAAAACATTCTCCGAAATTTTACAATAGTTTCTATATACTCTTACTAGCGTGTACCAGCGACTTCGTTCGCGTCGAATTAATCATTTGTAATGGTGATGATAAAGCAAAGCAAGAATTTCCATTAACATACAAACTGGATAAAATTTTCTCACATTTATGTCAGCATGAGAAAAAACAATATGGCGATATTATTATATAACTTGGTAATATTTGAGGGGTTGTTTCATCTCGTTGGAATTTGACTTTCGAAAAATCCGTTTGCCAAAAATAAGCTTTTTACGTCAAGCAGTTTAAGCAGAATCGTGGTTAAGAAATTACCCATCTTTTTGGAACACCCTGTATGATTTTTAAAAAAATTTCAAAATATGTAAAAAAAACAAATAAATTATGCTTGTCCAAGCGTTTTCCCGAAAGACTAACCGTTTTTTAAATATCAAATATTGTAATATTTCAGGGGCGTTTTCACCCTCTTGGAATTTGAGATTCGGGAAACTTCCCCTTATGGAACCTCTACATCCCACAGTCATTCCATTTGCCAAAAATCAGCTTTAAACCTCAAGCAGTTTAAGCAGAATGATAATTGAGTGATTACTTAATGGTCATATTTTAATATCCGAAAAACTCACCGGTTTTTAAATAAAAAATATTTTAATATTTGAGGGATAGTTTCACCTCCTTAGAATTCGAGTTTCGAAAAATCCCTTCTTGTTGAACCTCTACACCCTAAAGTGAATCTGTTTTCCAAAAATCAGCTTTTTACGTCAAGCGCTTTAAGCAGAATCGTGATTAATCAATGACCAGATTTTTCGAAACACCCCGTATACATTTTTAAAAAATCTTAAAATATGTAAAAAAACAAAATAAAATATACGTGTTTAAACGTTTTTTCGGAAACTTGACCGTTTTTTAAATAAAAACTATTGTAATATTTGAGGGGTGGTTTCACCCTCTTGGAACTGGAATTTCGAAAAATCCCTTCTTATCGAACCTCTACACCCTAGAATCAACCTGTATGCCAAAATTGAGCTTCTTACGTTGAGTGGTTTGAGCAGGATCGTGATTAATCAGTATGTCAGCCACTGAAGGATTTTATATATTAGTCTACGTATAGCAACATGTTGCATTATTATGTTGCTATACACTTACATCTTTATTAATTATTTCTAGAGATGCGAAATGAAATATATAAAAAATAAGTAAAAAATAATCGATTTTATTACAATTTCAGCGGGAAATACCCCCCTAACCTAACCTAACCCCCCTAAAACCATACCGCCTTTCTACAAAAGTTTATGTTTTCAGAACACGTAAAATCTCTAATATGTATATTTTTAGAAACCAGTCATTTAATAATAGAAAAATTTGTCCACGCAATAATGAATATGTGCAATCAAAAAAGCAACAACCAGCAGCGAAAGCGCTTAACAGACCGATCACTAGAAATTTTGTGAAAAGTAATATCGCTGACAACAGTGGAGACTGCACAACAAGGTAAGAAATTTTCAAATTGCCCTCCTTTGATAAAAGAGTTAAAATGTTTTGTTACCTAATTTGTTAAGAAACAATGTTGATTACTATAACAATATAAATGAATCCAGTTCACAATATCCGGATGTTAAAAATGGCAGTCGTACTCTGTAATACGAGCCCTAACAACTATATGTTGGGACAAGGTCATATTTTGGAATTATTGCCCTGGCTTTTTAAAATGACTGAAAAATATATGTTTCATTTTTTAAATATAAACAACTTGACAATATTTTTATGAATTTGTAAATCAATCCATATTTACAGTAGCAGATTTTGTTCATAAAAGGACAAATTTGCTGACAACTAAATGTTGGGACAAGTATTTTTAAATAATTAATATCATCATAGGCGGCTTTGCTATAAAAGTCACAAATGTCGCAAACTGTTTACTTCAGCATTGACAGCTTGTAAGTGACTCGATACTTTGAGTAGTGAGATTTACTGTTGTTATTTTTTTTTTTTTTTAATTTTCAATTTTGTTAATTATTTAATTCAAAGTAATGGTCCGTGGAAAAGCTACAAATCAAAAACTACGCGAAATTATCATTCGTCAATACAGTACGGGAAAAACAATTCGAAAAATTTCTGATGATTTAAGTATTCCAAAAACCACGGTCTTTAATATAATAAAAAAATACGGCGAATCTGCCAATGTAGACGTTAGAGGTAAAAGTTCGGGAAGGCCAAAAGTTGTATCTCGAATTTTAGTAAAAATTTGCGAGAAGTCTGCGAGAAGAAGTACTCTTGGCGAAATAACAGTTAAATGGAATACTGTAAATGGTTTAAATATATCTACAGAATGTTGCCGAAAATATATCCATAAATGCGGTCTGGGGTTTTACAAGATAAACTTTATTTTGTGTGGATAATCAGTTACATGAATTATTGATACAAATTCTTATTTAGGCCAAAGAAAAACCGCTACTGACAGAAATTCAAAAGAAAAATCGCTACAATTGGGCAAAATCTAAATTATTGTGGACACAAAATGATTGGAATAAGGTCATATTTAGCGATGAGTCTAAATTTGATGTTTGCGTTGAAGATCATCGAAAACGAATAATACGAAATAAAGCAGAAGCTTTTCATAAAGATTACTTAAAGAGGGTTGTTAATAGTGATGAGTGAAATATCGGTAACTGTGACTTTGTCACTGATATTCTATAATCACAGTCACGGCCTGTGACTGATTTGAAAATAAACGGTGACTTGCTAAAGCGTGACGATTACAGTTAATTGTGATTTCTCTGGCAACGAGAAAATACTTCACAGAGCGGGACGTCGCGTGTCGCGAACGCAGCTGCCGATGGCGCCGGTCGTGACTCAGTTCACAGTCACGAGTCACGACGTACGTCTCATAGGATGGATATCTGACAAAGTGATCTAAAGACAGTGACTGTTAGAAGTGATTTAATTTTTTATGTATTTTATATTTTATTACTATTTTTTATCACTAGGAATCAGTTTGGTTCCTTTTTAGTTTAGCAGGTTTTTTTAAAGCCAAACATAAAGTTTTACCTTTATACTGTTTATTTTTTTTAGAAACTTCATTTTTTACATAGGTATTTCGTTTATTTTAATACAAAGGAAAATATTTGTTGTTTAATGTATTACTTATCTCGTGTTGTTAAGTTTCGTTCGTTATGGTTATGAGCATATTGCATATTTTATTCTTTTCCCGTTGGTTTCTTTTAATAAAAAAATTGTTTTATTTTTAATTTTTAATATACCTTTTACCCACTGTTTAGTGTTTTCTATTTCAGCGGCCTTGGATAAAGGACAAATAAAAATTAGTATAACAACAACAACAGAATCGTATCATTCGTATCGTATCTTATATTTTAGCCGTGATTGTGCTTTCGGATTCATAATCATAAAGTCGCAGTCACAGTTAAGAGTCACAGATAATACAAAGTCGCTGTCACAGGTAAGCCTGTGAACAGAAAATCACGGTTTGGCTCATCACTAGTTGTTAAATTTCCTAAGGGGATTATGGTTTGGGGTTGTATATCAGCAAGAGGTTTGGGCAAATTAAATTTTACAGATGGCACTGTTAACGCCCAAAAATATCAACATATACTTGAGACCTCACTTTTGCGTAGTGCTCAAGAATTGTTTCCAAACGAAGACTATATTTTCCAACAAGATGGAGCATCGTGCCAATCAGCAAAATCAACTAAAAATTGGTTCGGTAATAATAATATAAAAGTTCTATCCCATCCTGCAAATAGTCCGGACCTCAATGTTATTGAAACTGTGTGGCCATAAAATGAAGCAATATTTAAGAAACCACCCACAACGAACAATTTTTGATTTGCGGAACAAACTGCAGGAAATTTGGGATAATTTTTCTCCTCAAATGTGCCAATCTTTGGTAAATACAATGCCATTAAGGGCTCAGGCAGTTGTTAAGGCGAAAGATGATGTAACTCCGTATTAAACAATTTTCTTGTTGTGCTGTCCCAATATATAGTTGTCAGCAAATTTGGCTTGATTTTAGCAAAATAAGCTATTATCAAAAGTGATTTGTGTGCAAAGTTATAAAAATATAGTAAAATTGTCTAGATCATATTGTAATGTTTGAATTTAAAATAATAAACAAAATAAATTGAGTCGTTTTAACAAATTACTATTTTATTGCAAAAAAAGACCTTGTCCCAACATATAGTTGTTAGGGCTCGTAATATTCCATATAGATATAAAAGAATATACTGCTGGTACCAGATAAATTCGTGTCCCAAAAGTGAAAGAAACATTTGATATCAATTATCAATTAAACTTTTAGTTACATAATCAATTCATTGTTGCCAACCTTGGACATATTCGACGCCGGGCTGACTAACTGGAATTTTAAATTTCCCGCTGGGTATTCAGGTGGTAGCTCTGCTGTAAAAAATGTCAAATTGCCACATTTATTTATTTATTTCCTTACATTGCCATTCATTTTGACACTTTAGTTTTGTATTACCACAAAACATCCCCCTTTAGAACATTCGAGTTTTTGGTTTAAATAAATAGTGTTATCATACTTTAAGCATTAAAATGTTAACTAGTAGACATTTCAGTCGAACAACGTACAGCCTCGCCACAAAAACAAAAAGTATCATTTTTACTTCTAATAAAACAATACAGGGTGTCCCAGAAATAAGTGCAAGTATTTTAAGGGGTGGTAGATCTCGATAAAAGAAACATACTTTCTCTTTATCGTTTTTCAAATGTACAAAATAACGGTGTCATTTTACTTTGAGAATTTCCAAAAAAAAAGGATTTTTTGCTAAAATTTTGAGAACCACTGGATCTTTTCTGGATTGTCTTTCTTCCAAAAAAAGTTTCAAAAATTCCGAATTTTCAAAAAAAAAATTCGCGGAAAAGACCTCATAAGCGTGTTTCTGGGATTGAACTATACTACCAGTTAACAGACACCCTGTATATCTACTAATCTTCCTTCTTTTTAAATAACATATCTCTCTACTTTTATGCGTAGGCGTAAAAATACTGTGTTTAATTTTGCTTAGTAACAAAAAATACCCTTTTATATTGTCAATCACGTCACCAAACTGAATAAATTTCTGAGATTTAAAAAAAAATAATGTTATATATGTATATATAAATATGCTAAGACTAATTATTTCATATTGTATTTAATATAATTTTTATTTACTCGCACCCTAGGAAAACTATACTTTGATAAAATTTGCCTTCTAATCCAGTACTAATTTTGTTAATACGGCAATATCTTATGTTAAATTTTATAGTGGTTATATTTGAAACAAAACTGTTTTAAAATATTCACGATAAACTTTTATATAGGCTGTCTCCAAAAATACGTAAAAAAGATAATGACGACAATGACAAACAGAGAAGTCGAAGGGCCTTAATAAACAGAGAAGAGGAAGTGACACAATCAACGATCCCTCAGTCCAAGATGACCACGAGGATTGCCAAACAGTATTCAGAGAAAAACAGTCGGTTAACAAAAATCCAAAAAATAACCCGAAAAACACGAAGTGGAAGGGTTTATGCTTATAGGTTGTAAAATTTTAAAAGAAAATTCTTTGTTAATAAATATAAAGAAGTACAAACTTTGTTTTATTGTATTTAAGCAGTTAATAGAAAAATTTAAAACCGGTTAGGAATAATTGAAATAATTTTGCCTCGCATTAGCAAAGTGAGCGAAATCTTTTAGGTTTAAATTGCCAACAGACCCGACCCTCTACTGCTGACACTGAAAAATAAACGTCTTTAGTTTAGCTGACAATTGAAAATCGTGAAATTATGGGACAACAAACGGCATCATTGTCGGGTGCCAGAGTAGTTGACTAGTGGGACGTAGACGCAAGTGAAATATTCCTCATAAGGCAAAAAGCAGAGTACCGCTATCAGCTTACTGAGATTCCGGACGGTAAATACAGCACTTACCCAATGTCAACAATAGCCTAGATGCTTTTATTATCAGCATTTCCATTCTACGAGTTATATCTACCAACATAATGTAGCACTTAAAGAGGCCCTACACGCAACGATTTAATCTGCATAGTCAATAGCCCAATCACACAGGTCAGATCTTAAGACCAAATCGATAGCGATCTTTTCACATTATACGTTCAAATTTTATAAAGGATAATTTTGTCAGTTTACAGTTTAGTACAGCTGCCGCCAAATATGTGGCCTGTGCAGTTAAAAATATTAAAAAGGGTCCTACATGCAACGATATCTGAGATATTTAAACTGCACAGTCCTTCGATTCAGTCCAAATCTCAACTTGTAATGCTAGATTCGATAAAGGTGTCGAGATATGAGATCTGCGATTTTTCGATATGCTGAATATTTTTAACTGCACAGACCACAGATTTGGCGGGAACGGTACTAGACTGACTGACGAAATTATCTTTTAAAAAATTTGAACATGTATTGTGAAAAGATTGCTATCAATTTGGTTCTAAGATCTGAACTGTGCAATTTGGTATGTAGGATCAAATCGTTGCGTTTAAGGCCCCTTTTCGCATGTTCACAGTTCATCTCTTCGATAAGATCTTTATCGAAGCCACCACTACATGTTGAGATTCGGACTGAATCATAGGACTGTGCAGTTCTCAGATATCGTGACGTGTAGAGCCCTTTTTATATTTTTCTATTATCATTCATTTTAAACTGACTTGTCGCTATACGCTGCAACTGAAATCAAGGATGTGGTCGATAACTGTAACTGCTGAATCCATAGCAACTATGCTTTCCGAACTATGAACGGGGTGCAGCGTAACAAGTCGAATATTATTCTGGTAGTTATACTAATAAGATAGTTGTTATTATTGTCAGTGATACCAACAGCTTATCGAACTTCGGAATATTCCGTATTGTGCAAACACATCCGAACCACTCGAAACTAATATGCGAAAGTTCTTCGTCCCTCCGTATAACTTAATAGTCACAAACCGTATTTGCTTAGAGGTCATTGGTATTTGCTATCATTGCTTTTTATCTTCTGTTAAAAGGCAGATTAGTAATCATTAACTGTTAGTAACATTAACTAGGCCTGGTCGGTCTTCCGGTATAGCGTACCAGGACCGGTATTTTTTAAATATTCCGGTATCGGTATCGTCTTTTGCAAGACCGATTACCGGTTTAAATCGGTTCCGAAAGACCGGTTTCAATCGGTACAGAAAAATAGATTCATGATAATATGAAAATCAAAAAATCTGTATAAAACCATTTTGGTACCGGTTTTTGTGCAAAGCTGATTATGTTCTCCTACTATATGTACCGCATGATCGAAACCCGTTTTTTTCAATCATTCGATATAATATGGTCAGGAACATACAATGTAATTTATTTTGATCTATGTTTAAGGCATATGCTAGTCTAGTTTGATCTAATAATCTAGTCTTCTTTTTTTAGTACATCTAAAATTCAACTAAAGCATCTTACTCATGGATCATTCATGTATATTATATAAATTAAAATATCCGTTCCATTTATATCTCAAAGAACAGCAGCTTCCAGTACTTTTTCAATTTTTCATAAGTAAAGGGAATGTTGGACAAGAAATCAAGAATATGCCGGAAATGTGAACATAAACAATGAGAATCTTAAGTTAGATCAATAACATTATAACAGTAAAGGATAGATTTACGATATATTTCGAGAAATCTAATTTAATCCTCAAAATACCGTATTTACTTAACGTTACAGGTATGAGAACTTTCCAAAGACATTATAAAGATAGACCGAACATCTCATTCATAAATACTCTTTGGTAGTGTACACAGAACAGATTAAAACAGAACGAAATCTTCCGTACAAAAAATTAGGACAACATTTTGGTACGCCATCTATGACACGGATTTAGAACTACAAATTAAATTAAAAAAAAGAAATCTGCAATTAAATTTTAAAAAGAAATCTACATTGCATTCAAAGCAATTTTGGCAGCGCCATCTATAGTATTATATTACACCTAATTAATTTAATATACCGTATGTTCGAAAAATAACGATTCCAAGTTAACTTAAAAATGACGATCGATAACATTTTCTTTGTAAAGTTATATGGTTAATGTCATCAATAGTCATTTCTAAGTTAACTTGAAGCCGTATTCTTCGATCATACAATATTTAAACTAGGATGATTTTATACCAGATATTTTGTTTCAAGTAAAGTTAAATAAACATCTTATACAATATATTTTTTAAAAAATATGTTGTAAAAGATGTTTGATTTAATATACTTGCCAAACAAATATCTAGCCTATAATCGTTAAACAATACACATGCGGTAAAAATCACATTACAATATTTTCTATACCAAAATCAAAAAGTACTATCAGATTTACTTAATAATAGGTGTATGATTAATAACACATGTGAATTGATTATATACCAGATATGACAAGGAAGTTTATAATAAAAATCATTTATTTTTGTTATAAATTTTATTTATTTTTAATTTTTTGTAGATTTCGAAATTTTTACAATACAAGTGCGGCTCATTAAATTTATAGGCAACTAAAAATTAAACATTACAATTATTGCTCGGATAAAATATATACAACTATTTTTGTATTTTTTTTGTTTTCTAAATTTCTATACCTAGGTACATGGTAATACTAAAGTAATACCGTATGATCGAAAAAACGGAGTCAAGTTGGCTTGGAAATGACGCGGTCGATGACATTCCTCATAAAATTTTACATATAGAGAATGACAGCGATATTCATTTCATAGCCAACGGTGACGCCGTTTTTTTTCGATCATATTGTACCATACGATTACGAAAAGCTGCATCAAGCTACCTTAGGAATGACAATTGATGGCATTCAAAATGTAAATTATATTAGTAAATCTAACCAATTAATGAATATCAATCTTCCATCGATAGCCATTTCCAAGGTACAATTAACCTAACCTAACCTAGCTGTTATCGAGCAGGTTATATTATTATAAACTAATTTCTAGGTACTTACATATAAAGAATAATCCACTCTAGATGGATACACAAAATAAAAAGTTCTTAATTTAAAATAATACACTATAAAAGGCCGGGCACACAACATAAAACGTCTTTACTTTGAGAATGAACACTACGACACTCACAACCACAAAACACATACCTCTCAGCTCCAGAAAAAGTTAGGCACTGATGGCTGCCGGGAAAAATGACGAAATATTACGATGAGACGGGTGGCGGGAAGAAACTTTTCCTTCCCTCTTACTCCGCCCATGTATTTTTAAATCGACAGTGGCGCCCTCTGACAGCGGGATTTGGCAATTCTTGTTCCAAATCCTGCCATTTAAGTTTTTGCACCGTGGTAGTGTATCAAACATTCCAATGTGTCAAACAAGGAAAGAAGAGACAGAGAAGTCTAAAATTTCCGACCCCGGCATGGCAACTAGACGCATTTGTATTATTCTAATGGCCAGTGGCGTATCGTTTTTTGGAACGAATTTAATTAGTAAAGTAAAAGTAATGAATTAGTAAAATTTTTACTGCATATTAATATACTACATTAACATTTTTTCGTCAGATGACTTTTGTTATAAGGTCTAATATAATAATATAATTAATATCCCACATATACTTATGTTGAAACGTTAGTAGTTTTCGAAAATCGCTCCAGCGTCGATTTTCAATTTAAACTTTCAGCACAGTTTGAAGAATATAAATATTTTCAGTTACTACTATATAAACTTTCAGTTACTTGAATATTTACAAGGTGACTGAAGATGCCGAAACAGTTCTATATTAGGTTTCAATGGTTGGTGACTTTTCTTTCATTTTTTTTTAGAATATGGAGGCAATGGTAAAGCACATTTGAGATATTTTTGTAAACATGGTGGCCGGAACATATTTTCAAAATAAAGTTATAGATTTGCCATTAAATTTCCATTCCAGAAATACTTAGGGTTGCCACCTGTCCTTTTTTGAAAAGGACAGTCCTTTTTTGGAATAACTTGTCCTTTTGACTTTTTTTAACTTAAAAAGTCATTTTTGTTAGCGTATTTTCTCTGAGAAAATTACCTACAGCAAACAGAAATATTCTTTTCGTGCAAATTTAATTAGAGATGTTATAAAACTTATAAATAAATTTTTCTTGTTTAGAACAGGCAACATTATTTAGAACTTCCCGTAATCTCAAATGATAGTTTAGGTTTTAGTTTTACCTTTTTTGATCTTAAAAAGAACTTTTCAAAATTAGTAATTAGTAACGAATTTTTTAGTTAGTTCGCAATCGATAGCTTACACCCCCCCCCACTCGTCCTGTTGTTTCATAGTACAATGTCCTTTTTCTACTTTGCACAACGGTGGCTACTTTACAAATACCCTCTCTTAAAGCCCCCTCAAAATTATAAATTCAAATAATTTTTAAAACTGTTTACTGTAAACTACATAAAATTAAACAATTACTTCCTGTGAAGTACTGTGTAATAGTTGTTTAATCTTATATTTTATTAATAACTTCCTATGCCTAAAATCAATATTTAATGAGAAAATTGTATTTTTTTGAAAATATAAGACAAGATTTGACTTTCGTCCGCGACGGACCGTCCGTCGTGTTTTTTCAAGATAGCCGTCGGACGAACTCCGT